TTTTTTTTTTTTTTTTTTTTGCTATTTGAAAAAGGAGATTAGTAGAATAATATATCAACATAAAATTTTAAAATAATTTACCAAATATTTATTTACAAACGGCTATACAATTTGTTTGTCAAAAAATCAATTATTATAATTTGCTATCAGCTATTTGCTAGTATTAGACAAACAAAGTATGTAACGTGTAACATTGATAGAAGGCCTAGAAAAATTTTTGCAACATGACCAACGATTTTGCAAAATAGTCCCTACACTGATATAAAAATCACAACATATGGGACTAGTTTTCATTATTCAAAACTTGTTGGGACCGATTTGAACAAGTTTTTGTGACCCAAAAAAAAAGAAAAATAAAATCACCCTTTCTGCAACTCCATGCATGACTTCTGGATAGACATGGTCAAAATACGGGCTCGGAATCATGGACCCAGAACCGGCACGGACCTAGGTCATGCCTGGTCCATGGGCCAGCGGGCCGGGCTGGGCCAGACCCCAAATAAAAAGAAAATTAAAAAAACAAACGAAGCATGTGGTTTTTCTGGCCAGGGTCGAAAAACAAGGCCCTAGACTGGCCCGGTTAAAATCCGAACTGGGCCCGGACCCATGGTCAACGGGCTTGACCGGGCCGGACTGGCGCCTGATCACCTCTACTTGTGGATATTCTGAAATTTATATGGCCACGTACAGAAAAACCAAGTTCCAACAAGGATTGATGGGCATCATAAGCATCTAATCTGCTTGCTCAAACACCAAACTTCCAGATTCCTGGCAAAGTGATTCTCGGCTGAGCATTAAGCAAACATGCATACAACTAGTGAAGTTGCTAATTCAGTCAGAATACTCGTCTTAAATAAGGCTGCCAAGTCGAGTATTGGCCTTATCCAACCGAGTTTTCTCCTTTTTTAAAATTGTTACTCGAGCTCAACGAGTTCAACTTTTTTAAGGCTAAGCTCGACTCAACAAAAATATACAAATGCTCAAGATCGGGTCAAATTTATCAACCCGGGCTCAGATTGTCAATCAAAACTTTCTATTCAAATAAGGATTTGGCTCGTGTTTAGCTCGAGTTAGTTGTAGTTAGGTAAATTAAGCTTATATACTCGAGCGGCTCATCATTCCCTCTAGCTTGTAACATACAGGCTCGAGAGCGAGTTCGAGGTGCTCGAGCGTGACTTGGGCTTGACATTCGCAAGCTGCTCGATTCATTTGCAACCCTAATCTTAAATAATCGAATAAGCAAAAACAACATAATAACCACCAATTACGAGGTTCTCTTAAATTATTATCCATCCAAGGCTTATAACAAACATCAGTACAAATATAGCCATTACATTACAAGTTACAACATCACAATAAACCAGATTACAACACAGTTGCACAGGAAAAATACCTTTTTATTTTCATCCTCATTTGATGGTTATGTAGCGGTTAGTCCCGTGTTTGGCCCAGTGGTCCTTCAAGTCAACGGGGCTCGACAGGTCGTGTCCCTCAGCCGCCAGCCGGCTGAGAAGCTTGTTGAAAGCGCTCCCGCTCATCTTGCGCCCACCGACCCTTGCGTGCCGCTTGTTAGGCACGGCCGGCAGCGGGTACATTGACAGGCTAGTCGTGCAGCACGAGGATTGCCACCCACCATTGCCCCACTTGTAGCAAGGCCTCAAGACTCCTGTGCATGAGCACACGGGCACCGGCATCGTGCTCTCGTCGAACGCCACCTGGTTCAGCCCAAGGTCCTGCTCTTTCCACTGCTGCTGCTGCTCCTGCTTCAGCCCGAGCCCGGGCCCGGGCCCTCCTCTCCACTCGTGAGCCTGATCAGCCTGCCCTTCTTGCTTCACCTTCTTGGGGGTGGCCTTTCGGGTCACGGCGGGCTTGCTGCCAGCCCGCTTCGTGCGGCGGGCTGGTTTCGCGGGATCGGCTGGGGAAGGGCCCGTCTCGTAATGGGGCTCGGTTAAGGGGTGATGAGGGTGGTGAATGTGCTTGACCCCGCGCCCGATTTGGCAGCCGGGCGGGCATTGGGAGATGTTTGTGTTGTTGTTTAAGGCGTTTTCTCGGTATTGGAGGGTAGCAATGGCGTTGTCTCGCTCGATAATGGCGCTGTTGCGCTCGGCTATGGCGGAGTCACGTTGGAGGATGGCCATGTCACGTTCGGCAAGGGCAGCCTTTTTTTCCGAGAGGGCAAGGTTGCGTTCTTGGATGGCGGCGTCTCGTTCGGCCATTATCGCCATTATTTGTTTCATGGAAGGCTGGTGCTGCATCAGCCACTGAACAAGGGGGAAAAAAAAAAAGAAAAGTGTTTGACATTATTGCGAATTTTTGTGTTGAGTTTTGCGATTTTTGAAAAGATAACCGGGGAAGGTTTCAGTTTTAGCATAATTAAAGCAAAAATACACAGTTTTACGTGGAAATTGCAAATAAACGACACCCGAGCTTTGCATTTATCTAAATTATTCGCCTCTTAAGTGTAACAGATTGCAAAACAGGAAAAAATAGCAATGGGTTTATCACTTTCTGTAATACTGAAAGATAACGGGGTTTTTTTAAAGTAAGGGTAGACCTCAGGGGTAGTTTTGTTTGCTTAAGTTAAGAATGTACTAAAAATTACCTGACCCTGAGGCGGTTTGTGTCGCCCATTTTCACGGTGCGAACTGTCGTCCATCTAAGATCCACAGTGAAAAAAAAAAATAGTCAGCTCGCAAAAATGTTCATTTCAGACCTGTAAAACACGTGCAAAAAATATGAAGCGAAAGTACATCACTTATTAGAGCAGTGTTCGTTTGCCTGTTATGCAAAGGTCCCGGATGGTAATTTGCCAATCTTGTGCTTGTAGAGTGGTAAAAGGAGTGCTAATAAATCGAGAAAGGAAAATGCACTGGTACATTATATGCAGGATGGAGACAAGTAGCAGGGAATATCTTTCCGCAACATCCTCCTGCGAAGAAAACCATCAACATTTGAGGAATAGACAAAAAAAAAAAAAAAACAGAGGACGCCAAAATAAAAAAAGGAAAAAGAAAAATCACTTATTGCAATGTGAAAATGAAATATTTGATAGTGACTTATAAGAGAGCTGATATATTTAGAAGCTGAACACAACAGATGCCGAGATTAATGTATGTTAATGGTAATTCTGATTCAAAGGTAATTGAGAGTAGTAAAGATCTTGGAGTAGCATGATACAAGCACGATGGATGAGTGAAAAGACTTATTATGCAGCCTGTATCGCTAAAATGAAAATTCAATCGAGATTACGAATCAGCTTACTGTCCAATAAAGATTGTAAATCAGCTTAGCTTACAGTCAGATAAAGTGAAATTCCAAAAACTACCCTTGAGGCTCGGTCATTTTATTTTTCAACTAAAGAATAAAAAGGAGATAGAAGTTAAGAAAACCACCATCTCTTCAAATAACAAATAACCCACTTGGGTGGACACTTCTGTAAGAAACAAACAAATGTGAGATTATATTGTCATTTGAATTTTCTTTTCTTCTGAAAACCCACAGGTCATTTGGTGATTAACCCGTTGAAAAACAGTTAAAAATATAAACATAAACCAAACTTACTTCTCTAGTTCTACAAGGAAGTCACTAAAATATAACCTAATGCGTGAATGACAGCACAGGTGTAAAGCCCTCAAGTTCGTATATGCTTATGCCATGCCATATAAGAACAAAGTTAGTACCGTAACTCTGACCTTTCAAGTTACAACGAAGTCTTGAAAAAGATCGTTCTTTCTCGGCACAAGAATTAACAATAAACCGCGAAAGTCAATTTATGTTCTTGCATAAACTTAGTAAAATGGAAGTCTCAGATCAGACTACGAAAGTCACGAGCACCAAACAGCTTATAGTATGCAATCTTCTAGAATGTACTTTGTCTTTACATCTACAAACAGAACTTTGCGGATCTATCGAATTCATGAACATAAATGGAGAAGGTAACAAACTTAGCTAAAGCTCAGCCATTATTCCAATTTCGCAACTAATCTGCAATGCTACAATTGTTTCTTTTTTTCTTCAAAATACAAGCAATGCAGCCAAATCCTACTTCACCCTTAAGGTAAATTATAGCAGCAAATCGCCATTACGATTTTCTTTCTCCATTTACTCAAATCTTATAGTTTCGACTTATCAACTTCGATTTTTTACCATCCTAAAACATTTCATCTACATCAACATACTCACTCAGATTAGCAAGAAATGAGTTCATCTGCAAAATATATGCAAACATACCAACCCAAGTACAAGAGCATACAACAACTTGAACTCAAAACCAACAGCACATGATAGAAATCTGATAGGCCAACCACACACCACAAAACGTATAATCAACAGCAAGCAGCAAATAAAAAAGAACAGAACAACAACTTCAACAACAACAATCAACCAGAAGAATGCAACAGAGCCCACATCACCAAAAAAAAAAAATCCCCAAATCAAGAGCCAATCAAAGCTCCTTTACAAGTCAACCAAACACCAAAATTTTTACAAACTACAGACAAAAGAGCAAGATATGAAAGAAAGCTAACAACAAAGAAACTCCTCAAAAAGCAGCCCAATTCTCAACAGAAAACAACTGAATCAAACTCCAAGAACAGAAGACAGCGAATCAAGAACGGATTTTTTTACAAGTTTTCGGCAGGAACACAGCAGCTCGTGCTGTTAAAACACCATAGCGAGACGATGAAGACGAGCTGAAACCCTAAATACAGAGAAAGGGCAAGAAGACTAAAGAAAATATCTTCTGTTGGAATATGAATAGTTGTTGAAATTAGCATTGAAGAGGAAAAACAAACAAAAACAAAAAAAAATAAGCCTAAAGAAAAAAAAAACCCACTTTCTCTTTCTTTTTCCCCATTCTTGGATATTATTTTACCTGTGTGCCTCTTATCATTTTAACTACTATACACCATTTTCACATTACATTTTTACACCTCCATTTTGTTTGTTTGTTTGTTGGTTTGTTTGTTTCCCATTGCTTTTTCTACTGTGACAATAAATAAAAAAGGTCTTTACTTTTGATTTTACCAAATGCCATCACAGTCGAAGACTCGAAAGAGTGTGATTTTTACTTGAAAAAAACAGAGTGAGTGAGGTGAAAATAATGTGCTCGTCTTAAATGGGCTTGTCCTTGGCCATTAATGGGGATTCTTGAGATTCGTGAGAGGAGGTTAAAAAAAAATGAACTTTTTTCAACTTTGTCCATTTTTTTTTACTTACATCGGCCAGTCAATGGCATGTCATTTCTATCGGTGGTTTTTTAGTTGTGTTTATCCTACGATGTAAACGAGTCGATTTGACCTTGGGTTCGGACTTGGGGTTTTATTACAGCTTGACTTATTAACAAAACGAGTCTCGATAAATGAGCTTGAGCTTAATTCGTTTATCAATATTTAATGAGTTCGAACTCAAGTTTTAAGGAGTCCGAGTCTATAAAGAAATTACATAAAATTTTAAATTTTTAGCTTTAATAAATAGATCTGAGTTCAAACATGAGCTCGAACTTTAACGAGTGAATCGAGATTACATTCATTTTTTTTTTTATTTTACAACTCTACTATTAGAGTATCATACATTCAAGCTATTGATAGAAACTCATTCAGTATTAAATTTCTATTGCTGATGAATTCCATTAATCCTTAGAGCCTTTTAATCTGAAAAATTCCTATAGAAATTATATGAATCCAAAATTTTTTATAGCAAATTATATGAAATTGAAAGACAGAATCATACTTGATGGATTCATGTTGATCGATTGCATTGGAACTCAAATTTGATTCGGGATTAAAGTTCTTCCAAAGATCGTGATCTCTTTTACTCTTTTCTTACGATGAAATGAAGAATTCTTTTTGTTAAGAGGAAGAGTCAATGGTTATATTTAGGGCCCCTTTTATTTATCACGATTTTTAGCAACTCCACCTATTATTAATCTAGACCCAAATTAGGTCACTTGAATTTAATACTATTATTTATTACATCATCAAATTATAATATATTCGGTGTCCACATTTAATCATTTTTACAATTTAAATTAAGTTACTAGTCAATATATTTATACAATAATCTATATATATAATTGCTAGCTAATCATTAAATAAAACCTCATAAATAAAACCTAATTAATAAAACCTCATTTATTTTTCCTCCAAAAGAAGTTATAAAATTTGTCATTCATATTTTTCCTTTCACATTAATACACACTATTAAGTGTAATCATGTAAAAAAATTAATAGCATTAACTATTATTAATATAATAGCAAAAAAATAGCATTAACTACTACTATAATAATAATAATAATAATAATAATAATAATAATAATAATAATAATAATAATAATAATAATAATAATAATAATAATAATAATAATATCTTGAAACAATCAAATTGTTTATACTTATGTAATTTATATTTAGTGTGAAATATTATGAGTTGGTAATAGCATTAACTATTATATAATATAATTGCAAAAAAATACATAATTACACTTAATAGGGTGTATTAATGTGATAGGCAAAATATGAATGACAAATTTTGTAACTTCATTTGAAGGAAAATAAATGAGGTTTTATTAATTAGGTTTTATAAATACATGATTACACTTAATTAGGTTTTATGAATGATATTATTATTATTATTATTATTATTATTATTATTATTATTATTATTATTATTATTATTATTATTATTATTATTTTGTATTTCATGAAACAATTTTCTTTAGAAACAATTAGTAAATAGTTTTAATAGTATAGTAAAAAAACTTTAAAATCTTATAAACAATTGTCGTTGTAATAAGAATAGTAATAATGATGATAATAATAATAATAATTATTATTATTATTATTATTATTATAAAGTTTTCAAGTAAATTATTTGACCATGATCCCTCCAAATTATAAAAAATTACATTACCCACAATTTTTTTTTAATCAATATAGTGATTCATATGTACTCAAATAATTTATATAAATATTATTTTATTTTTACTAATGATTAAATCTTGAAAATGTGGAATGTCCATTATCTAGAATTTTAATATTAAATTCACATATCTTGAAAATGTGATATGTTTATTATCTAGAATTTTAATATTAAATTTACATATCTTGAAAATGTGATATGTTTATTATATATAATTTTAATATTAAATTCACATATATTACTTATAATATTTAATGTACATTTGTGCATGTGCACAGGATGATAACTAGTTTGATTATTTAATATGGTTAAGCATAATAATCAATGCATCAGTTACACATATTTACTCTGAAAATATATATAACGACTATCAGGAATTATATGGAGTCATCCATAACATTATATACTCGTGTGCAATGTGTACTTATTGCAGGACACGTGTCAATAAACCATCACAAATAAATATAGATGGCTCCATAAACAATAGCATCAACGTTGTGATGATGAGAGTAAAAGACAATGCTAGCACAATAATTAATCTTCTGAAAGTCATTATATATATGTTGACAACGACTAAGTCGTTTAATAAGACCAAATGATCATCATGGTAAAATTTCACTTTCTTTACGGGAACATCAGATATCATTGTTGATAATATACTAACTAAAATTGAATGGTAACATATAAATAGATATTTTGGTAATATTTTAAACACAAAAATAAATGCGAATGAATTATTGGAGAGAAAAGTAAAGCTTAATAATAGATTACTTCTCTATCTGAAAGAAATAAAAATAAGAAAAAATAATGTATATTTATACTAAAAATAACATAAACAAAACATGCCATTTCCCAATATTAGGTAATACATTTTTGTTCAAAAAGTATGACAGGTTGACTCGCCTAACCGTTTGGCTAACTCACACAAAAATTGTGTTAATCAAATTAACAGTGAGCAAGCATATGGACAACGTGGTAAAAGAACATAGTTATAGAGTGTATGCAACCTCTAAAACAATGACATTCTGAACTTGCATAAATGAAAATACTAGATCCCGACTTCACCAACAGCATTTCTTGTAGAATACGAAAAATGTATCATTCCAAGTCCTCGTTCCACCAACCAAAACAGCCGAACCTTTTAGACATGAATCGAGTCTTCCTCCTCGGTAATTTGGCCGCATTGAGCAACGATTATACAAACATAAACCCACACTCAACTTGCGTGTGTTTTCTTGTCGATGCTCGACTTGCTTAGAATTACAACGCCAATCACTATTAACACGGCGCCTGCAAACCACTATAACAATTGAACTTGCATTACAAAGGCAGCTGAAAACAGAGACAATTTACACTCGCAGAATAACTGAAGGCATTCACTTAGCTTTGTTTTGGTATAATTTTTGAGTTGCGTCTGAGAAACATTTTTAGAGAAAAAGTTGGATGATATACACAGATGACACAAGAGATTTGGGGGAATGAAATCCTATATCATTACTTTCTTTATTTATATAGTTTTTTTCCGTCATTTTCCCTTCCCGATAACATTTTCATTCTCCAAGATGAAACATGTTTGGAAATATAGAAGCAACCACCCAATTTACATATGTCCAAAAATTGATTTGTAACATGGTGTTATGAAAGCACGAAACAGAATAAAAACCATCTATAAATCTCATTACCATTAACAACCCAAGTAACTTGCTAGCCATAACTTTAGATGAAATTTATAAGACATCCTAATATTTAGAAGAATTGCCTATGAAGGTACCGTGAAATTCTCAACACGAGTATTCAACATAGTGAAAGACCGGAAATTAATCGAAAGAAATCACCTTAAGTGGCAGTGCCTCCTCAAAGAGAAAGAAACCAGACAACCCAGACGAGAGAAAATTGGTCGCAAAGTTTGTCACAGTAGCTTGTAAAGACGAGAGAGACCTCATACTGTTAACGTAGCATCCCCACATAATGACGTTGAAGAATATAACCAGAGCATACTTCAACTGTCAATGCCGATTCTTTTATAAGCAAGCGTCGATTACACATTCGATATTCGAGAAAGTGCAGAAAATGGACATCAACGGAAGCAAAAATAAACAAAAGCAGACAATTTGGTTCTTTTTTCTTAATTTGATATCATCAGCATTATCTCGGAGAGTGTAAAAAAATTCCCAAATTTAGGACTTCAATTAACCAGGCTAACCTCAAAGCACTTAACCATGGAGATTCTTGACAATAAAGCTACGCCATAAAGAACCCTTTTTTTTTCAGCAAATTTGCAGATATTTACTCATAACTTTTCACCAAAACTAGTATAATTTGTGAATCAAAATACAGAAGTAAGCCACGATAAGCAGTGTTACCATATCATATTCAATTAAATTAGTTTCTAATCTCTGGGGTTTGTAGGTTTGTTAGGGATTTCGCAGATTTTAATGTAACGATTTTGTTTTTCGAAGAAATAAATAACCTGGGATGAAAAGAATTTAGCTGAAATGGCGGCGAGAGCGGCGTTGAGTCCGGCAGAGGCAGCCCAGGCATAGCCTTTCTTCCTTTCTATCTCCATGGATTGTGTTCACTAATCCACTGATGAATGAATGATGATGAAAAACACAAAAGTTGCATACATAAATGGCATCCTTTCCGGGGAAAACGGGTCGGATAGGCCTACACCTGACACAACATAGGTTCTTTTTTTTTAGACGCCAAAGTCGAAGTTCGATGGACCAACTTATCCGAAGTCGAGGAGATATTGCAGGTTCCACAAGGAGGATTGTAGGCACCTTAAAGATGAGATTGAATGTCTCGTTCAAGCGGGACATCTTAAGGAGTTTGTCTATCAGGATCGAACAAAAAAGAAAGTGAAGAGGAAGTGCCGAGAGTACTCGGTGGAGATAAGTGGCAAAGATGAGAATGGGGACGATGATGCTCGAGAGGATCGAGGGGGTCGTAGAGATGGTGGCAGCAAAAAGAGGCAAGGAGATGGAGATTGGGGAGAGCAGAGGGGTGAGGCTCAGGTCAAGAGAGGGACCATTTAAATAATTTCTGGTGGGCCTACGAATGGAGGTTCAAACAGTGCAAGGAAAGAGCACGTTCGAGCAGTTAAGCGAAAGAGAGAGGAAGTGTGGATCACTGCTTGAGTGCCCGTGATGAACTTTCGAGCAGAGGATGCAGATGGGGTGTTACTCCCTCATAATGATACGTTGGTAATCACGGCCGAGGTGGCTGGTTTTGATGTGAAAAGGGTGTTATCGACACTGGGAGTTCGGTAGATATCATGTTCTATAACTGTTTCGCACAGATTAGCAAGGAGTTGAATTTGGAATTGAAGTTGGTGGTAACAACCCTATACGGTTTTAATGGAGGTGAAGTGATGCCGTTGGGAAAGATAAGTTTGCTAGTTGCCCTAGGGTCGGGGGTGACTCTGAAAGTTAGGATGGTGAGATTTGTGATCGTAGGTATTGAGTCGTCGTACAACATTATCTTGGGGAGGACCGACTTGAACGCTTTTCAGGTTGTGGTGTTGACGTACCATATGATGATAAAATATCTAGTGGTTGAGAGTATATGAGAAGTTACAGGAGACCAACTGACGTCGAAGAGTTGTTACCAGACAACGGTGAGCAACAACAAGCAAATGGCCAAGAGTAAGGACAAACCTAAAGAAGCAGTGCCGGATCGACCGAGTTGTTCTCGGTCGAAGGAGGAGGAGTCAAGGCATGATAAGGGGAGGGAGAAAGTGGACATTCACCCAGTAGGCGAGATCGAGAAAATTCAGATGGTGGAGGGTTGTGATAATCGAAAGTTCAGGATTTAGAAGGGTAGGTGAGCCATTGAGGTCAAGGATGATAGAGTTGGTGAGGGAGTTTGTTGACATTTTCTCATACACCGATGAAGAATTGAAAGGGATTGAAGCTAGCGTGATCGAGCATAGGCTAAACATCGGCCTCAGTGTGAGACCGGTGAAGCAAAAAAGGAAGCACCACGGAGCAGAGATGGATGAAGTGAAGCAGAGATGGATGAAGTGATCGAGCAAGAGGTGGAAAAATTTATGAGATTTTATTTAATGATTTGTTAGAAGTTATATGTGTGTGTGTGTATGTGTGTGTGTTGTAGATATAGATATAGATTAGTTATCTAAAAACTGTTCAATAAGATAAAATTAGAAATAATATTTGTTTTTATATAAATAATTTTCATGTACTTTTTAATATGAATTTATAATTATTTAATAACCATTTTCAAAAAATAGTAGCAAAAAAATTGGAAACATTTAATCGACACTTTATTTGAAAACTTTTTAAATATATGCATTAATTGCTTGTGTATACACGTTTTCAAATCAGATATTATCAGAAAGATTATTTCCTTGAATAATTCATATGATAAAAAAGATTATTTCCGCGAATAAATTAATGATACCCATTATAATAAACTGTAATTTGATTTTTCGAAATTCATGTTGATAATATTTTGGTCAAGATAATCATGCAAACAAATTTTAAGTCTTAAACCATATTATTTTTTTTCCACAAATTTTGACTTTCATCCAAAATATTTATAAACAATCGTAACATGTAATTTTCTCCGTCCGACTAATTTGACGAAATCAAGTTGGTTAAATAATATTTGCCAATAATATTTTTTAACTTTTGTTTAATGATATAAAAAACAAATAATTCTTCAAATCAAAATAATTTACCATTTAAGAGATAATAATTAGATATATAAATAATATTACTAA